AGCCGGAGAGAGTTTAGCAAAATGTATTAATAACCAGATAGTAATGCAAACTGCTCTTGTGCTCGGTTCGAACTTGCATTAACATTTCATAAACATGCAATAACGGTTTTAATCTAACATCCCTTAAATCGCATCGTTGCCGGCTCGCTATTAGATTTGGACGTAAAGTTATTTTAGGAAGAACGTCGCGCGTCGTGCCATAACAAAACGTGCATCGTACAGTTCGAAATTATGTAGGATGTGTAGCCTGCTTGTTTGCTCTGTTTTTATTCTAATTTTCTAATATTCTCGAGAATATTCTAATGCTTTATCAAGTTGTAGCAAAATATCGAGAGTATAATATTAATACTAAAGATTAGGACAGAAAGATTCAGTTGCCAAAATGTTACAAATATTAAAACTTCTACAGAAAGATAAAATAGAATTTCATCATACACTTAAATTTATATACTGTACAGAATTCACTGCACTGTTTGGTTTGCATATTATTGAAAAAAATGAAACTGTTCATATTATCAGCAGACATATACTATTATAGAAATAGAGATGTCTAATACTGTTACGGCCATCATTAAATATTAATAGGTGATTGATTATATAACATAACTATAGCAGTCATAAACTATGAGGTATAATTATTATTACATATATTGGCAATATAGTCAGAGTGGTATTATTGCCAATATAATATTATGGTATCCTCTTAAACGCCTCAATTGGCATTGAGTTCTTGATTGCGATAAATTAAGATTTTTGCTTTATCCACAACGAATATTCAGAGAGTAGATAAAGGACTTTTTAATGAGTGAGTCTTAAACAACTGCAAATATTTTCAAAGCTGGTGGATCTCGAAAAAGGAAACATATTTTCTCTTTACCGTTTTTCAAATAAGTCCAAAATAACCCAGATATTTTACTTTAAAAATTAAAAAAAAATGTTTAAATTTTAAGAACTACTGGACGTTTTCGGGATTTTCTTTCTTGTAAATTTAATCTACTATCTATGTTGCTCTATTATGAAGATATTATGAGTTTTGACTAAAAATTAAAAAAAAATCAAAAAACTCCAAGACTCAGAGACCCAATAGACCCAATAGACGTCACCAAGAGACTGATAGACGTGTTTGTGGAATCGAAATATCATCATCATCATCAACCAGCCTGAAGTATCCACTGCTGGACGTAGGCCTCCCTCAAATCTTTCCACTCTTCTCGGTCCTGTGCCACTTGGATCCAGTTTCCCCTAAGTCTCTTTAAATCATCTTGTCGGAGGTCTTCCTCTGTTTCTGAGAGCATCCTGTCTTGGCCGCCATTCAAGCAGATATATAGCATCTGTTATTCGTGTACGCTGTGTTATAACTGTACTGGGTATCTCGTCTCTTAGAGATACACCAAGCATTGCTCTTTCCATAGCTCGTTGGGCTACACGGATTTTTTCTATGAACTTTTTTATCACTGTAAGTAGTGTCTCTGCGCGATATGTAAGTACTGGCATAACGCACTGATAGAACACCTTCCTCTTTAAGCACATTGGTAGATCTGATTTTAAGGTCGAAATATACACCCCTAAAAATATTTGCACTTATTTAATACTTACTCTGTATATGAAAGATAATTTTTAATTGCCATAATTTTTCTAAAACCTCTCCATAATGGATTTCTATGTGATTAACTACTGAAGTGGCTAACATAAAGAAATATAGATTAATTTGTAGTATTTTTCAACATAAAATATCCCTATCCATATATACAGGGTGGCCCATCGAAAACTTTCCGCAAGGCATAACGGCCAGGATATTTTTTTTTTTCAAAAAATCCAAAAACACGTCAATTTTGTTTGCGTGGGGGACAACTTTTGCCTAAAAATGATTGCAAAATCTTCAACCCTCTAAGCGGGAGTGTCATCCCCCAACTTATTTCAAATGGGAAGGGGGGTCAAATGGTACCGCAATAAAAAGGGCTTTTTATTCTCTTTACTTTCCCGCTTCGTTTTTGAAAATCGGTCGAGTCATTGAGAAAATATGAAGGATTGAAATTTGAAAAGTTTATTTAAACATTTATCAGAGTAAATGATAAGGATAAATTCCTTAGACCAATTTGCTGTTTTTTCTTATTATTTCTAGATGTTTACGCATTTTTTCACTTGCCACAAGGTTGAACGATCAGGTGCGGCAGTTGCTAGATAGCTGTTCTGTGACTTGTGCGTTGAAGTTCTTCTCAATATCGTTAAACTGACCCAAAATAGAATTTCTAAAAATACCAGCCCACACGTTCAATTTCTGAGGGTTTTGTGTGTGCACCTCGTGAAAACCCCTCAAACCAGTACCGACAGTTATGCCGATTAACTACACCGTTCAAAAAGAAAGTACACTCATCCGAAAACACGCTTTAAATACGAAATTATTATCATTCGCCAATCGTTCACTCACAGTTTCACAAAATTGCAAGCGACGATCAAAATCGTCTTCGTTGAGTTCTTGTACCAATTGAATTTTGTACGGGTGGAACTTGTGTTTTTTTAATATCCTTTGGACACTGGTACGATTCACGCCGGCTAATTTTGCATTGGTTAATTTTCTTGTATTCAGCGTACTATCCATGGCAACTTGGCCTAATACGAATACCTCCATAGCTTCATTTACTACAGGGTTTTCCCTCTGCCTCTTTTTATTCATAACGGAACCAGTTTCGTGAAATTTTGCTGCTAACTCGCGAACAATTTTGCCATGAAGGTGTTTTTCAGGATGACATTCATTGAATATCTGCGGAACCCGATTGCTACATTCATTATTTTTAAAATAAAGTTCGATTATTTCCACTTTTTCTGCAAGTGAATACACCATAATTGTTAAAAAGTTTAACGATAATGAGAAGAACTTCAACGCACAAGTCACAGAACAGCTATCTAGCAACTGCCGCACCTGATCGTTCAACCTTGTGGCAAGTGAAAAAATGCGTAAACATCTAGAAATAATAAGAAAAAACAGCAAATTGGTCTAAGGAATTTATCCTTATCATTTACTCTGATAAATGTTTAAATAAACTTTTCAAATTTCAATCCTTCATATTTTCTCAATGACTCGACCGATTTTCAAAAACGAAGCGGGAAAGTAAAGAGAATAAAAAGCCCTTTTTATTGCGGTACCATTTGACCCCCCTTCCCATTTGAAATAAGTTGGGGGATGACACTCCCGCTTAGAGGGTTGAAGATTTTGCAATCATTTTTGGGGCAAAAGTTGTCCCCCTCACAAACACTGGCCGTTATGCCTTGCGGACCGTTTTCGATGGGCCACCCTGTATATAAAAGCTCAAAGGGTTTTTTTTTTGTTACATCCATCCAAAATATCTTTTTTGGAAATTTTTAAAGTAAAATAACTGGGTTATTTTGGAGTTATTTGAAATACGGTAAAGAGAAAATCGTTGTCTTTTAGCTAGATCTACCAGCCCTGAAAATATTTGCATTTATTCAAGACTCTACCCAGAAAATCGACAATTGCTAACTTTCATATGAAATACGAGTAGCTCTAAAACTCTCAAACATATTTTAAATAGCGTATTTGTAAGGCTCACTAGCTCTATCTATGAATAAGTAAACAATAATTTAAATCAATTCAAGAAGTAAGATTCGAGATTTAACGCGAACGTAGTCACAGGAAAAAGCTAGTATAATTTTTATGTGTCATATGAAAATGTAAAAAATCTAAATGATATTTTTTAGTCATTTCAAATTATTAATTGTTTTGGGACAAAAGTCATGCGATATAATTAAACGATACCATTAATAAATTTAGTGTATTTTAATGTTTTTGACCACGGCTTCCATTAATATGGCTTTTAAGGTCAATTTGTAAAATGTTATAATATCAAACGTTAATTGGTAAATGATTTATATTATTAATTACAAATGGTGGCATTGCCCATAAATTACTTCGATACATTTATATTTATTTTATTATTACTAGTCATTTATGTAACCTTTATGTATAATTTTAATATAATTGATAATAAATTAAGATAATCATAACGATATTTGCGAATTTGCATAAAATTTATTTTAAAAATAATTAGATTTTAGATTATTAATGTGATAATAAAATAAATTTATAAGACATAAGTGTATTAGCGGCAGAGTTCTAAATACTAGACAATAAACATACTCGTATTATCAAATTTTATTGCCATGTTCGCAGAGTAAATTTTTAACAAGCTTTTCATGTTAAACTCTATGTTAAACTCTATAATAATCGAGAAGCCAAAGCGAGGATTTTGATTTTCACTTAAGCGCGGTAGAATAACCATAAAGAGGAAAAATTTAAATAATCTCCCCAAACCTTGTACCCTGTTAAGTACTCCCACCAAATAGTAATCCTAGCCAATCAAAGAATTTAAAAAAAATGATCGTTAGAAAAGCTGGAGCGCATCACATTAATGCAAGATGAGTTACATTTAAGCCAGTAAGCGAGGGTTTTAGGGTCCGAACACTTGCACCGTATGACGTGAAATTTTAACAGTGAATAGAGATATATGTAAGAAACCAAAGTTACATAGTAGCGATGTGTACTTTCACCCTGGGGGTGTGTGCCACCCCTTCTCGAAGGTGAAAAATAAATCATCCATTTTAATTGCAAACATAAATAAAGGGATGGATTCTAAGCAAAAAATATTCTATAACTATAGTAAACGCGGGCAAAGTGGAAAACTTTAGCCGTGTCATTTCTATGGATTAGACCTAACACTTTAGAAATGCGTACGCCTTAAAAAAACTTTATATAACAATTTGACTACTTAATTTTACTACATTTTTCAAGATATTAGTATGAATTTTTGTTTAAAAACAATTTTTAAAAATTTTTGTAATTTTCCACTTTGCCCTATACTAAGGGGCAAAGTGGAAAATGCTTTAAGGCAAAGTCTGTATTGCTTAGGGCAAAGTAGAAATAATAATTTAGCCGTTTCTATTAGTAAATTTTTATTTATAACAGTGATACATTATTTTCTAGTCTACCGACAATTATCGCAAAAGAAAAGTTTCTTCATTCCAGATAGATCTGAACACAGTTCATGTGCCCATTCTTCGCAAAGTGAACATTGAATCCAGGTTTCCGTTGGAGGATTTTCATATTCTTCACCACAGGTAATGCAGAATATATTGTTTTCTTGCTTTGGCTTCGATCTAGGGATTCCTTTTTTCTTTTGTCCACTCCCTTCAGAATTCTTTCCATCTTTATCTAAGCTGCTCTGTAGGTTACACTGTTTTGGTTTTTTAAGTTTTTCTTTTCCTTTGTTTTCGAGCATTAGCTTATAAGGAGAACTTGTTAATATCTCCGATTTCTGACATTTCCTTTTTCTAGCCTCATTTACTGAGTGTGCGGCTTTAGGTAGGGGGAAAATATCTTTTGGGGATACCAAACATGTTATTTGTTTTTCAGGGGAAGCTGGAGGTGTTGAGTTTAAAACATCTTGGATAACAACCATACTTTTGTCTATTTCGATAGCAGAATCAAACACCGGAGAAGCGTTGTTATTTTTGTCATTGACACCAGGTTTATTAATTCTTGATGAACCAGGTTGGGCTATCTCACAACTAGGGACTACTGACCGAGTATCTTTAGTAATTTTGACACTATTCTTGAGGGCGGCTAAAGAGATATCTTCGTCAGAGTCAGTATCGTCTTCATCAGTTCTCAAAGTTACTGCAGTAGCTTGACTCCTAATTTCGTCTTGGTCAGTTTTATTTTCAGGAGCAACAAAATGAACTTCAGCAGGAGCGAAGTCGGTTTCGGAGAAAATATTTCGATTAAATGGAAATATTCCACATTTTCGAAAACCATTTGTTGCTGTCTGAACGGTGGCACTTTTTTCAAATGCTATTTTTACTAATTGAGCTATATCAAACTGGGTTATTCTGCGCCCAGGATGATTCTTTTGGAACATGTCTACTGCCCCTTCGAATGCTGCCTTGAACGGTTTGTATACAGCCACATCAAGGGGCTGAAGTCTGTGCGTAGTGTGGGGTGGCACAGAAAGGATTATTACTCCACAGTCCCTTGCCAAGTTCAGACCATCTAAGCTTTGATGAGAGATGTGGTTGTCCAAAATAAGCAAAATTGGGAGATCTTTACTGGGACGTACACATTGAATGAAAAAATTTAACCATTTTATAAAAAGTTCACTGGTAATCCACCCAGAATCAGAGCACCATGCTTTAGAACCAACGGGACCTCCATCTAACAATCTCTCGTTAAGTTTTTTTCGGTGTCCAAATATCATGCATGGCGGAAGGAATCGCCCAGCTGCACTGCAACAGCCTATTACGGTAGTAAGCTGACCTTTTTTCGGCCGAACTTATCACTCCTACTTGTTTTTTTCCTTTGCCAGAAAGGGACCTTGGGTGGTTTCTGAGCAGAAGTCTTGACACCCGTCTCATCCATATTAAAGATATCGTCTGGACGCTGTAGAAGTTCATATTTCTCTAAAATGTTCCACAAATTGTCGTAAAAAATTCCAACTTGATGTCTGTTAAATGCAGAACACCGAGCTATACTTGTGGGTTCAGGTGTGCGAAATGATAAATCAGGATTGCGTGACATGAAACCTTGCAGCCAAGCCTCTCCCGCTTTCTTATTTTTAAATGGGTGTTTAATAGCATTCTGTTCAGCTACCCTGTACGCCAACTGTTTTAAACTGTCCCTCGTGAGACCATAAAATCTAGCGTCAAGTTCTCTAGCATGCTCACTAATAAGTTTTTCTAATTCTGGACTAAAAACACATCTGAATCTACCTAACTGCTTCTTATGGGAATCTTTCTTTATATGTCGATGCAACGTACCAATTGGTATATTGTATTTTATTGAGGCAGACGAAATAGACGTCAATTGGGACTCTTCCATTGCCCGTCGCATGTTTTCTTCAGTCCATGCTGCCTGTGATGTTTTTCGTTTATATTTATTCACCATCTAAAAAAAAAACTTCAAAAAACACAAAGTTATATTTTAGGGGCAAAGTGGAAAGTTTCCACTTTGCCCTCATCTCTACATTTCCACTTTGCCCACCCCAACACGTGTGATATGTTGGGGTTAGAAAAATTAAACCATTCATAATTACAGCCTAGTTTCCATGGAAATAACTTAAGGAGATAATACACTAGTCATATATAGCAAACAGATATCATCCTCAAATATTTGATACTACAAAATCAACTTTAAACTTACCATGATAATTTTTGCCGAATTCAGTTTGAAAATAACTACTCGTAACACATGAATGAATAAACTATGTCTACAGACATTAGGCGCCATCTGTTATTAGGAAGCCTGACTTCTTCCTGGTAGAAAATTTTAAACTGCGGTTTACCGATAAGGTAGAAAATTTAACTTTCCGCTTTGCCCGACCCTTCCATTTTGCCCGTGTTTACCCTATATATAATCTAGTATTCTATATTTAGGATTGAAAATGTTGATTTTTCTTCTAAAAACTGCATATTTTTCTGCTATTTTTTATAAATAACTCGAAAACCTTGCGTTTTATTTGCAAAACTCAGCAAAAATTAAGGTTTTGGAATAACGAATCGATTCGTTTTTTGTTGATTACCGCATGTGTAATAATAGCCGAGTTATCACCTGTAAAGGTGATTTTTTTGTTTTTCGAAAACTAAATTGCAACTTTTACCATAAAATAATGACGAAAGAACACATTTTTCGAAGAAAATTACTATGACCGTTTTTAAAGTGCTTAAAAAGAAGCTTTTTCAAAAAGCATTTAAAGGATTTTTCGTAGCTGAAAAAATCGGGGAGTTAAGATAAAAATAAAATAGTCAGCTCATTTTTTCGGAAAAAAATTAACAACAAAATCTATGAGTAACATCATAAAAATAAAAACTAAGCATAATACATGTACCGGGTTATCATTTTAGTTTGACCCACTTTCAAAAGCTTATAACTTTTTTGTTTGTCGGGTTAAAGCATTCATTCAAAAAGCTTGTTGTAGCAGTTTCAGCCAAGTTTTTGCGAGTGTTGTCAAAAATGACAGTAGGTGTCACATGTCAGATTTTTGAAACTAAAAAAAAACTTTTTAAATGGGACACCCTGTATATTAGTAGCGCATTAGATAGTCGCCTTTTCTCCGAATTCAAAAATGTATCACACATGTGCATTCTTCTTCTTAATTTCATTCAAGATTGACAAAAGCATGTAAAAACAATTAGGTAATTAAAAGAATCAAGATAGTTATAAATGGTTTTGTTTCCAAATTATGTTTGTTAGTTTGCCTTATCAATGTAGCACAACACATTAACGAACAATAACTAGCTATAGAATTAAAAACAGTTATAGGTTATTCATTTTCATAATCTATATTGCTCTACATGACCACCTTCTATGCATTTTCGAAATATTTTCTACAGGCTTTTCATAATATGACGTTTATAATGTTAATGTGTGATACATTTTTGAATTCGGAGAAAAGGGGACTATCTAATGCGCTACTAATATAGAGGGTGTCGCATTTAAAAATTTTTTTTTAGTTTTAAAAATCTGACATGTGACACCTACTGTCATTTTTGACAACACTCGCAAAAACTTGGCTAAAACTGCTACAACATGTTTTTTGAATGACTGCTTTAACCCGACAAACAAAAAAGTTAAAAGCTTTTAAAAGTGGGTTAAACTAAAATGTTAACATGGTACAGTTGTCTATATTTGGATACTTTGCAACGGGCAATTTTTAAATTGCGTCAATAATGATGTATCGTATGTTTCTTCGTTGGTATCAAACGAATCCTCTACTATTGGTGATTCAACATTAGAACATGACCGGCCTTGACAATTTGTACATGCGGAGAACAAAACAGTCCAACCAGTTTTGCCAAGAGTCAAAATAATGTACTATTTTTACACGCAATAACTGGCTGTGGTACGACGCGACGCGACGTCTGCATTTTACAGGAGGGGCAAAACAACAGTCTTTAAAATGCTTGAAAAATAAGACTTAGTTCAACGTGCTGAAGTTCTCAAAAAAAGTAATTCAAGTCAACAAGGTATTATCACCTACGGGATTAGCTTTCTTCTTTCTATGTACGGAGTTCCGAAAAAAAACCACCTATTTAAACAAGTATCGATATGCATATTTCGTTAAAAACACTCGAAATGAAAAACAGGCGCAATTCGTTTGTCTTCTTCCAACCTCAGTTGCTGCTCACCAACATATTTTCCGGGTATATTACCAAGTTCAAGTGTAGCTTGGTTATCAGCTAGGCCCAAAAAACTGGAATTGAAAGTTGGTCGACAATACATTAGAACCAATTCAGACTTTACTCCCACCTGCGCCGGAAAAACTGCTAAACACAATTTTTTGCAACTGTAAAAAGGGATGCAGTGCTAAATGTGGTTATAAAAAAATTGGACCGTTTTGTTCTCTGGCATGTACAAATTGTCAAAGCCGGTCATGTTCTAATGTTGAATCACCAATAGTAGACTATTCGTTTGATCGAAGAAACATGCAATACATCACTATTGACGCAATTTACTTACATCCAGGATGAAGAAAACGAACAAGAAGAAGAAGAAGATCAAGAAGAACAACAACAAGAAGTATTTGAAGGTTACGAATCAGAGTAGTATATTTCTAATTTTTTTTTATTTCCATCGCCCTTTTATAATTTCCAATCCTTACTAATATCTTATATTCCGTAATACTTTTCAATTAAACAGAATCAAAATAGACATGTGGAATAGCCCTACTGGAGAAACCAAGTTAAAAAAAACGCGCTAAGTACACTACCTCATAGGTGGCGTGGAAACGTGTGCATTTTATGACGATTACAACTCTTTGACTCGTTATATCTCAGAAACAGTGGCTCTAAGGAAAAAAAGTATTGATACATTTTTATAGAGAATTTTATGGTCTATAATTATTTAGAGAGGTAATTTTATGATAAAACTTACCGCTTTGCTGAAAATCGCAAAAAAAACAATTTTTATCGAGATTTTTGACCTTTGACCTCGCATTATTTTTTTTTCCAGGCACCGGAATGATTTGGAATTTTAAAATGTTATTTTTAATTATGTTTTAAGCAATTACACCCATTTTCAGTTTGTTGTAAATTTATGTACCTTCGAATGTCTAGATTGACCGGGCTATAGATATGCATTTAGGACTGACGAAAAAAGCATTTCTGTTCTCTGCAAAAAGCACTGTTCCTTGCACAAAAAAAACAAACTGCAAAACACTTCATTCGCCATTTAATTGAGATTTCGGTCCAAGCCGAAATTAAACGTAGAGAATTATGGGTAACATTCTGGCGATTTGTGGCCAAGGATGCAGGCATTTTTGCAACGGGGTAATTGGAACTCTCATTACACTAAAGCGCATCCTCCTATGTTTTTTTCGGAAGATTTATTACTTAAAACCCGAAGATTTCTTGAAACTAATTGCGAGTTTAAAAAGCTTCTTTAGAGAAGAAAATAATCGGATTGTAATTTAAGTCGGATATATAAGAGAGTGAACTGTAAGTTTAACATTCTTCTTTTTTACATGTTTTCTAAACGAAAAGTTAAAGTTGTTTCTATATTAAATTTCATAAGTTTTAGTATACTAAATACAGCGGGTGCGTCTCAAAAATGGCTCACCTTTATAACTTTTTTATTTTTTCCGATAAAAAAAAACGAGATTTGGTATAATAGTATATGGCATAAATTAGGATTGATTGACGTATTCAATTGTTTTCGGTCACTTCCTGTTTCACCGAAGATAACTAGAACTTTTGATTTTTAAATGGTATTTCCTCGGTATTTTTCTACTTTATTCAAAATAAAATGACACTCTGAATATAATGACATATAATATGTCAACTTTTGAGATTTTCGCATATGGTTTATTTGAAATTGTACCATGCGGTCCATAACGACAATTTGACTCGAAATACGTGTGTGGTACCAAATTATTCGTAAAAAAATTATTTTTCCTAATATGCTATTGAATCATCCTCGTTTCATTTGAAAAAAATTAGATATGATTAAAAATACGAATTAGGCCTCTTTTAACCGCCTAGGAAAAGACACTAAAAATATTAGACGATCAAATCTATTTTTCCAAAGCTCCTTGATTAAAGTAAGTGTTGTTAATACAATCATGGCACTCTAGACTAAAATTTAAAATACGATGTTTTTTAAAGCGAATATGTCAATAGTTGACATTTTCTATCAAATAAAGTAAAAACATACCGACGGTGCCATTTAAAAATCAAAAGTTGTGGTCATTACCGGTGAAACATGAAGTGACCGAAAACAACTGTTATAGAAAAAGTTATAGGGGTGGAGCCACTTTGGAAACGCATCAGGCATATGCCGTTAAGCAATAATAATATGACTTAACCATGTCATAGGTGTGTTGACAAAGACCAAAAGCAAAAGCAGGATTTTAATGCTAAAATTGCTGTAAATCATAACTTTCTTCTTCAAAAGCAAATTAGTTATTGAGACGAACCAAAAAAACACACTATGGAATAAAAATGCACCTTGATGAATAAATAATTTTTAAATTCCGTATCTTTAATAAACCTTTCCACAGGGTTTTTCAAACATTTGCTAAAATAACATTTTGTTTTTCCTCCTATAATAGACACACAGAGACTTTAATTTTTAATTTAGGAAGAGCCTATAAAATTAAATAATCTAGACACAAATTGCTTGAGATTCCCTAGAGCAAAATATATTGAACTTAAAATATACGAACATTTTAAGATGTTCGTTTTTCGTCTCTATCAGCCTAGTGTATATAGTTTGTTAAATTCTATACTTAGTGATTTTTAAAATAGTTGAAAATGCAATAAATACATTCTCAGTTTACTTTACAAGATCAAAATCACTTTTAGAATGCACTTTATACTAAACACAACGCTTTTATT